AGCAAATAAATCGAGAACAAGAAAGGAATTAGGTTTTGAAATACTTCCGCCTTCTCCGGCTTTGGTTTCGTTTTGCAATAACAAACCTTGATTATTCAAATTTCAAAATACTTGGAATTAGGTCGTCACCTGTAAGCTAAAACTAGTTTACCCACAGGGTAGTGAATGCTGCCTTGGCATATCATTTTTCCCAAATCTTTAATATTTTAAAGAATAAGAGTAAGAAATATTTGTAATCACCATTCTCCAATTAACCAAAATTTTGATCTCAACAAATCTAGACAAAATTCCATCATAGCATGAAAGAGCATCGCAAAATTAGTAATATTCCAAAGTTTCGTTGCGAAATGTTGTAAAATGCGGATAATATAGCCTTGCGAAATTTCAAATTTGCAATTTTCAGTCATTTTAGATTGCAAACGGGAAATGGTTACCACTTTTCCAAAATTTTTATCTTAACTAGCCTAAACAAAAATTTCATCACAACTTGAAAGAGCATTACAAAATTAGTAATATTCCAAAGTTTCGTTGCAAAATGTTGTAAAATGCGGATAATATAGCCTTGCGAAGTTTGTAATTTTCAGTCATTTTGTAATTTGTATTACGCACAGAAGTGGTAACCATCTCCTGTTTGTAATCTAAAATGACTGAAAATTGAAAAGTCTAGATTTGTTGAGTTCAAAATTTTGGTTAATCGGGGAATGGTCCGTTGGAATCATCCATAATTTATACACTTGAATGTGCCGTATGATAACTCGGCGCTCGAAGGCTAACAAGAATGAGTGTACTTATCAACTTATCTAACGCGAGAAAAAGATCAAAATGGCAGGTATGGCTGTGATATCTAGTATATAAAATTGTATGGACAATTTGCCTACAAATACGGTGCTAGGTCAAAACGCCCCGCTTAGACCAGGGGTTAAAGGGCAATGACAATGACATGCAGGTGACATTTACAGGTAAACTACGTGAAGCGTTCCTCTTTAGAATTTCTAAATTGATTGCAATTTTCCTCATTACTTTTGCAATTTAAAAAACTCCCTTGCAAATCCCTTGAGGGAATTTGCGATGTTGCTAAAAGCCAAAAAAATTTTCCTCAGTTCCTGTTAGAAGTTCTTAACTTCCTGTTACAAGTTCCTAACTTCCTGTTCTGTTCTGGGCGTTGCAATTGGCTAACAAAAATAATCGACCAATAACAACGCTCAGAACAGAACAGGAAGTTAGGAAATTAA